ATTTAAAATTTTGTGAACTCTGACATAATTTAATGTTATTTTTTTTTTTTTTAAAAAAAAAAAACTTTCTGGCGAAGCGATAAATCACGTGGATTGAAAATGGTGCAATTTAGTAGTACGTTAGACAATCACTTATCAAACAAAATCATTACAATCATACTATACTGGGCTATAACTGATAAGAATATTGTATCAAAAAAAAAACTTAAAGTATGACCTATTATGTCTTTTAAAACTTATAATAAACGCTGACAACTTCATATAATTTTAAAAAAATTTCCGTTTCCGAATCAACATGTGCTTTTTATTATAGTGCACAAAGAAGAGTAGAGTTCGAGAAGAGACCATTGCAGATTTCTCGGAGAATGATTACATTATAATCATCTTTATCATTAAGAACTTCAATAAAATTTTGAAATAATTTGTCAAAAATTTCTAAGGCATTTTTCTTATTATCAAAAAAAAAGCGCCGATAAAATGGATTAATTTATGTGATGACAAGAACAATTTCTAATGTACCCTATCTTCAACTATCATGTGATAGCAATTTATACACAATTGTGTTTATCACGTGTTAATTACTTTAAAAAACATTTATATATGTGTCTAAAAGATATCTGTATCACCAGTTCTTGAGATAATTTGTCAGACAGCGATAACAAAATGGCTTAAATCAACAAAATTTATTCAAAAGTCATATTTTTTCGTTGATATAGCAAAGAAGCGCATTTGATATAAAAAAATAATTTTTGAACTTTTATTATTGTACTAATGTTAATAATACAATACTACTGCAGTTTCTTCATCAGAAAAGAATTACAACAAAAAAATTAGTACAGTGAGCCTCTATAAGGTGCACCCGTATCATCTACTAAAATTTCCCTCTATAAATGCATCCTAATGCTGATCCACTGGGGTAATAATGATAGTAATAATAAAATAATAATAATAATAATAAAATAATAATAATAATAATAATAATAATAATAATATTAATATTAATATTAATATTAAAAAAAGTATGTTTGTCACTGCTGGTAATAGTCACCGTTGGGCAAAATTAACAAATTTAGGGTTAGGATTAGGATTAGGGAATTATGTAATTTTGCCCAGTGGTGACAAATAGATTTACTCTTAATATTAATATTAATAAAAATTACAAATTATAATTTACAAAAAGTAAACAAGCTTTACGCAATCGTATAGTAGCAAAGAACGTCATATGGATTATATCATGAGATAGAAACAAAGTTTGAAAGATTTGAGAAAGAAAATGAAATGTCAAGAAAATAGATTAGTGAAACTAAACTTAAACTTTTCTTTTCCAACTCTTTACGTTCCAATAAAAATTTTTCAAATAATTCAATTTTAAGAATTACAAGATGAATTTGATTTCTGTCATGTTATTATGCTAAATATATTACGAAGAATAAAGGAAAATTTTTTATACATTACAATATCGTAAAATCCATCTTTACAATATATACATCTGATTAAAATATTATTTAATAAAGTCAAACAAGCGATAAAGTAATATTTCTTTTTCACATTCATCATCATTCCATTAAGCGATCAACTATGGCAAGTCAAACGTGACAATAGTTTTGAACTTTTGGCATGTTCGGCTTCCATATTTCGGGTATTTATTTTTTTAAAACAAAGTGTCGATGTTAATTGCTTATTTTTATTTATGGTTTTAAGAAGACAATACAAGTTTTAAGGTACATATATTCTAATTTTATTTTAATCTTATTTCATCTCATCCGTCTCCACTTAAAAATAAAAAAATAAAAATAAAAATTTAAAAATAAAAAAAATAAAATAAATAAAATAAAAATAAAAAAATAAAAATAAAAAAATAAAAATAAAAAAAAATAAAAATAAAATATTGACCGGAACTTCCAGAACATTTACAACTTTGTTAAAGGAAACCAGATCAAATTTTAGTATTATAAGTTAGATAACTATTGATTTTATATCTAAAGTGGTTTTAAAGTAGTGCTAAATGAATTTTGTGAATGGTTAGAAATTATTGCTAAAGAACGTGAAGATGAAATTAAATTTGATTATTATAACGATAGTGAACAAGTTTTGGTCTTTATTTATTTTATCTACTTTATTGTTAATAATCATTATATAACTATTAATTATAAACTGATTACATTATTGTATGTATATCGGTGCCGATGCAATTTACTAACCCTCGCGTTATATATATTTTATTATGGTCTTGGTCTTCATGATCAATCAATGAGTGAAGGAATATCTCTATTATCTCCTCTTATGGAAATTATTCAATGATTTATATTTAAAGTTGCAGAATTGCAAAACTGCTATTTTAATGTTTTAATAGAAAAAAAGTAATAAATAAGATTTACTTCAATCTATTACTAGTTTTTTCCTGTGGCTTCGCCACGTATTTAAGGTTATTCACTTAATATAAAATCTGTGGCTTCGCCACGTATTTAAGGTTATTCACTTAATATAAAATTATCGATCGTTGCCACATGAAACTTTTTATACGTTATAGAAAGGTAATTATATATAAATATAACATATCATATAAAAAGAGCGAACTTATTTCATCAAAATCAAGTCACTTTAAAATTTTCGTCCGTTCGAACTTTAATCGCTAATCATTTTCTCAATTTTGGTGATATAGATCTGTAATTCATTCTTATCTTTAAGATTACTTAGTATCGTTTTTTTAAAGCTTGATGCAGCGACTTTACAAATTGGAAAAACAAAAATTTTATCGCTTTTTTCTTCTTTTTTTTTCGTATTTGTAAACTGTATAATAAAACACCTAAACTTAAATCATAGAGATAGATCAGATACATCCAATCAGAAACGTTAAAGCATACACTTCTTTTTAAATAATATAGAAAAATAAATAAATAATAGATAATTAAAAAAATAATCTTCAATCATTTGTAAGCCAGCTCAAAGGTAGTTTAATTTGACCAATGTGTTAAAATTACATTACAAATTTCTGAAAATGTAAAAAAATTCATGAATATAAAAAAATCATATTTCAATCCGTTTGTAAGTCAGATTAGCAAAAACAAATATTCAATTACTTTTATACTTTCTGAACAGTTTTAATCAATCACTCAAAGGCAGTTTACTTTGACCAATGTGATTGAAATTACATTACAAAGTTCTGGAAGTGTAAAAAAATTCGGAAACATTTGTAATTAAAAGAAAAATTCATTTTCAATCCGTTTGTAAGTCAGTTTAACGAAACAAATTTTCAATTACTTTCATACCTTCCGAACAGTTTTAATTAGTCGCCCAAAGGCAGTTTACTTTGATTAATGTATTTAAATTATGTCACAAAATTTTGGAAATGAAACGGAACTGTAATAAAATTCGCAAGTATTTGTAATTAAAGAAAAAATTATCTTTCGATCCATTTGTAAGCTAGCTTGGCGAAAACGAAGATTCAAGTACTTTCATACCTTCTGACAGTTTTAATTAATCACTCAAAGGCAGTTCACTTTGACCAATATGGTTGAAATTACGTTACAAAGTTCTGGAAGTATAAAAAAATTTTTGATTAAAGAAAAATTCATCTTTCAATCCGTTTGTAAGCCAGCTTAGCGAAAACAAATATTCAGGTACTTTCATACCTTCTAAATAGTTTTAATTAGTCACTCAAAGGAAGTTTACTTTGACCAATGTGATTGAAATTACGTTACAAAGTTCTGGAAGCGTAAAAAAATCATGATTCTTTGTAATTAAAGAAAAATTCATCTTTCAATCTATTTGTAGCCGGCTTAGTGAAAACAAATATTCAATTACTTTCATACCTTCTGAACAGTTTTAATTAGTCACTCAAAGACAATTTACTTTGATAAAAGTGTTAAAATTATGTTGTAAATTTCCGAAGGTATAAAAAAACTATGTATTATTCTTGAAAAAACATCAATATTTCTTTGCATTTGCAAAGCAAGTACAGTATAGTGAAAAATCAATTTACTTCGACGAAGCTAAGAAACAAATAAACAAATTCATTATTGATAATTTAGTACTAATAATTAAAACGATCGTCACAAATTAAAATGTTTAAATTTCTCATGATGTGATTGAAGCAGGTTCGATTTTGATCATGATTACCTCATTCTTCTTTGCTAAGCCATATTTCATTTTGACTGATTTTGGAAAATTTGCCAACGTGACACTACCAATACATCCAATTAGAAACGTTAAAGCGTTCACTTCTCTTTTAAATAATATATATAATATATATATATATATATTATGATAATACATATATATATAGAATAGATAGATAGATTTATTTAACCAATTGAAGAATATCCTTCATCATCATCACGTGTAATTTACTACCCATGTAGATTTTAAAAAAACAATATGTTGTTATATTAAAAAAAATTTATTTTTATAATTAAATATCTATATAACACCCCTGAAATTATTCATTTATAGAAATTTACATAGAAAATCTTGGCCTTTGGAGTAGTTATCTAATTAATGATAAACGTTTTGACTTTCTAACATTGAAATAAAAAATCCGTCGAAGCTAAACCATATTGTAAATAATTTTAATTATTCTGTGAATTTCAGAATTTAAGATCTTTTATATTTAATATTTTTGAAAAAAAAAATGTGACTCAATTTTAATTTGCACCCCCCTTATATGCAATAAAAGTCTTTTTGCCAGTCATACATTTTTGAATTTGTAAATAAATAAAGTATTCCTTTTATACGAAAGGAGTATTCGTACCATAAATCTTAAAATAAATAACAGTTGTGTGTGTTTGTATGCAAACACACGCACACCGTATAATTAAAGTTCATCAAAAGTGAACACAAAAAATATCGGGGTACCAGTGCATGCAGTTCACATGACAAATATAATGTTGTGTTGCTTGTTGCGAAGAAGAAAAATTTTTGAGTAAAATTGGAATGGAGGAAATATAAATTACAAATGTTTATATTGTTAATAATTGAAATAATTTAAATTATTTAAATTATTATTCAACTGAAAATTTAACGGTTGAAATTGTTCCTGATAATTTAACTGTTGAAGCGAATTAAAATAATAATAATTATTATTATAATTATACTGACAATTATCATCTTCGTAGACTTGTTCTTGTTCATTTCTTAAATTATTCATATGTAAATCTAAATTATAAAAAGATTCTTGGTTATTATGTTCATTACTTTTAGTCATTGAATCATAGTTGTCATTGATATTATTGTCATGACGTATGTCTTGACGTAATAGGGATGGTAATGAAAAGCGAGTTATATATTGACCACTTTCTTTATTATTATTAATATTATTAATATTATTATTATTATTATGAAATTGGTCGATTTCATCGTTGAAACCGATTATTTCATCATTAATATATTTTTCATTGTGATATTCTGAATTTATAATATCTCTATTTCCAATATCAATATTATTGTTATTATTATTGTTATTGTTATTGTTATTGCTATTTTTGTCACCGTGATCATCTTTTTTATAATTTATTTCCCAAATTTTTCCCCTTTTAAGTTTTTCATGCTCTCTTTTTACTTCTCTAGATATTCTCGCATATGCTTCTTTCACTTCTGTCGTTTCTTCCTTCCAAAATTTACTTAGTAATTTGGAAGCTTTAAGCATCGGAATATTATAGCCGTGGGAATGAAGAATTAGCCAAAACGCTTTTCGATAAACGAAAAACGAGTTAGGACTACGACTGCAAATAGATTTTAAAGGAAAATCTTTAACGGAAACGACCGGCGGATAAAACTTCGGTTCGAAGTTTAGAGGAAGCGATGATGAATCGGGTATGTCAGGTGATAATCTTAGAGTAGGGGTCATTGTTGAATTCGTGTCGAGAGATGAATTTGGAGATATAGGAGAAGAAGCAGCAAAAAAAGGAGATTGTAAAGAAGAAGAAGCAAAAAAAGAAGTTTGTGAATAAGATGTTGAAGCAAGAAAAGAAGATTCTGAGTGACTTGGGTTAAACATTTTATTTTATTTTATTCTTGAGATTTCTAATTTTATTATTTTATAATTATATTTTAATTTTATAATTTTATAACCATGTATATTCATAAAAGATTTTATTTTATTTTTTTTTTTTGAAAAAAAAAATTTTTTTTTTTGAGAAGAGAGGAGAGTCAATATATATTTAAAAAAAAATATAGCATTTAATTAATAAGCATGTAGATTCCTTTTTTTTTTAGAAATAATACTTGTAATGTGAAAAATTATAATACTGAAATATAATAAAATATAATACTAAATTATAATATAATAATTATAAGAATAAAAACAATCTATTGATGACTTTAATCTTTTAGTGTGTTTATAAATAATGTACAATGTGCAAATGTTACATCATCATTGAGACATTTTTTATACGATGAATAGATTACAGTACTGAATAAAATAAACTTGAATAAATAAACAATAATATGTATGGTGGCGCAATTTCCGTGGTATAAACTTCAAATATTTTTGTAAATACACTCCATATTTGTAAATATTAATTGCTTGGTAGTGCAGAGACATTGGGCGATTCGAACTTTATTATTTAGTTTGTGGAGACTGATTATTTTTCTTCTCAAACAAATTCACATATGTCAAATAAAAATCATCCGTGTAATCTATAATTGTAATCTCGTGTATGCTGATATAAACGAGACGCGTATTAATCTGAAATGAAAAAAAAAAAATTGACACAAAGAATAATAAAATAGAAGAATGAATCAGAATAGAAGAAAATAAACTAGAGTAAGTTAAAATTATTGCGGTAATAATTAAATTTAATTGGTTCAAACTATCATTTTTATGCATGCAATATTTTGGGCCATTCCTTCCATTTTATTATTGTAGATATCAATTTTATTTGGAAAATATGGAAAATTCTTTAGAATAGATAATAACAATAATAACAATGATAATACGCTTGCTTTTTTCTCATTGTTATTTAATGCATGTATCAGAAGCATTTATCTATGTGTATTCATAAAATAAAAAATAATTCGCGAAATAATTTGATTTAAAAATAATCAAAATTCAGCACGACGAAATAGATCGGTCTAGACTTTTATTATAGAATCCCTATATATAAATAAATTTTTTTAAAAGTTAGCTGTGATGATACAATTGTTCTCTAGGTTGAGTCCCTGGACATATAATAATTTAATATTATAATGTAAAAAGTTAATTTGTCATTTTAATACGCGTTGATTTTCGTTACTAATACATTTATACTTTTTGTTGTTGTAATTGTAATTCTGTAACGATATACATACACGCACTACACTAAAAGACAATAACAAAATAAGAAAATAACAAGAAAGATACAACATGAACAAGATTATTATTTGTTGATTTGTATATTTCATGTTTTTTTAAAAAACATTCTCACACACACAAGAACATTCTTTTTTCTATCATAAACTTTAGATATTATTTACAATGACTGACTTTTTTGTTCTAGTGGCATTTTGTCTCGTAATTCTTTTATTATTATTATTGTTGTTATAAGATATCAATTTTATTTATCATTAATAATTAACAATTTTCATATTCAATACTATTTACGGTATTTATAGATTCAAAATAGAATGAATGCAAATGGAGAATATCGCAAAATAAATAATCATAAATATTGTCATAAGTATCATTCAACGTTAAATAACTTTAAATATAATTAATATAAATATCTATTTATTCATTTATTAATTATATATATTAAAAGCCATAATATATATAATTACATTGAAAACGGCAAGATCCAAAAAAAAAAAGTAATGAAACTTAACTGAAACATTTTTTTTCGTATATATAAAAAAAAATTCCCATACACAACATTACAGCAACACCTGATAATTCATTTTATTTTTTATTTTTTATGATCTATAAGTATATATATCCCGTCGTGTATTTTCACGAGACTATTAGTTCTAAAGAATAATCATTTATTTATTTGGTATAAACTTTCATAATGTTTACAAGTTTATTTATTTATGACTTTGGTTCCACTCCTTATTTTTGCACAGATTATATTGATATGAAGATAATAATAATAATATAAAGTATAATATAAATAAATAAATAGCAAATTTTTAATAATACTGATCAAATACCCATTGATATTATCACGTGGATATATAACGCGTATGGCAAATCCTTAAAATAGACCTCGAGGTTTAGGCCAGGGACGATGATTGCTTTCACATAATTTATTTTTTTCATATCACATAAATTCACTAAAATATATTACAAATTACCTATATTTAGTAATTCACAAAAACACAAAATTTGACTTTATCACACACAAAATTTACTTTATAGCGCCACAAAAAATCATCGTCCCTGGTTTAGACTTTTATCCTAGACACCCTATATAAATATAAATAAATTTTTACACGTGATAATAAAATTGCCTTATCCGTTTCTTTATCATGTGATATTAATTTAGAGTATCTGGGATGTGTGTTATGAATCCAGTTTTCCAAAAATAAAACAATTTTTAGAAAATAATAGTTTATTATATTGATTAATACTTTATCTTGAATGGTAATTTAATATGATAATTGACTTTCATTAACTACAACCGGTTTTTGAAAATTACTTGACAATGTATGTAACATATATTTATGATAAATGTAAATTATAAAAATCTAACAAATAACTAAAACTAAAAAAGGAGAATATACAGAATATTATTTAATGTAAAATCACAAAAAATAAATTGTTATTTAAATTATATTCTTTTTAATCTATTGCTAAATTGTTAATTTAATTTTGTTATTAATTATTAATCACATGTAAAAGACTGCGCCAGAGTTATGAATTGTCAACGGGAAATATACATATTTGTATTTTCATAATTATATAATATTAAAATTGTGAAGTTTTCATGGAATTTCAATATTTGGTATAGAAAAAGCATCAGAATAATAATAGTAACCATAAACCTTAAATTTCAAAGGAACTAATTCATGTTTTGCAACCAAAAAAAAATGGCATTTCTTCATAGAATATAATACCTTACAAGTGTAACCATAAATTTGGTATGTTCCATATAATATGAATATGATGATAATCTTGATTACGCATTTCACATAAATGCATTATCTAAAACATTAACCCCCTGCATGTTATGCATATTATTTAAAAAAAAAATCCATAAAAATTTTGCCATTTTTACAGAAGAAAAATACGCGACTTGATCATGCAATTTTTTATTGGTTCATGTTTCATGCTTCGCGTTAAATTTCTTAATATATGTATAAAGGATATATAAAAGTAAATTCAGATTTAAAATGTGACATTCTTTTTTTTTTTTTTATTGAATCGACATTTATTGTGTGAAATCAAAATAATCTGTTTTTCTCATTCGATCTTGATTCAGAAATCCTAATTGCAGAAATATTTATAGGTCTTTTAATGGGAAATAAAACTTAAATATCAAGTTAATTGATTCATATGATAATTGAAAAATTTCGCTCTAGCCCAGTCTTAGAATACTTACCGATTATTACTACCTATCAATGAACTATTTACTGTAGATCTTTGAACAATAATTATCTTATTATCTATTATTATGGAAAAAACTGAAACGAGTTTAAGAATATATTACGTACCAATTATTACTATTATCTATCAATCTTTGAAATCTTCAAACAATAACTATCATTGTATTCAAAGAATACGTTATCGAAGTTCTTATTATCGATTACTATTATGGAAAAAACTGAATCGAATTTAAGAATATTTGTTTGACACAATAAGAATAATTAATAAACAGGAATCGTAAAAAAAAAACCCTGTATTTTAAATCGTTATTAAAAAATAAACTATATTTTTTGTTTTAGCTTCGAGACTTTATTAGTAAAACTTTAAAAAATAAAGTTATATATACTTAACATCTAGATATCATTATCATAAAAAATAATGTATCCCTTTTATCAGTATTATTTACGTTTAATTTTAATTTGTATTCAGAAAGCTTAATAAAAATTAATTAATGCTTAATAAATGCCTAATAATGCTGAATAATACTTGTAAACTAGTAATCTATTATAAACTTTAATTTAATACAAGAAACGGTTCCAAGTATGTTTTATGCCTTCAAAAACTAATTACAAATCAACATTTCACAGTTTAATCAATTGTTTAATTAATAAATTGGTCATAAACATTAATTAATTAGTTACTATTGCTTTTCGCAAAACTTCTCGAAATGGCCTTATCACCTGATTTATAAATTTTTAATCTACTTATTTTGATTATCATTTATTATGTAAAATGTAGGAACATCAGGCAATTCTTTTGCTCCAATAAATATTATCTTTAATAAGTACAGGTTACATTGAAAAATAAAAATACTTATACGCATATATTTTTTGAGCTTATTTATTAAAAATTTATATTACATATCATTGCATGATAATGTAATAATTTATATCTTAAACTGTGAAACATGTCGCCATATGATAACATTGACCTACCACTTATGTGATACATATAAATCTATGTAACGTTTATATGAAAATTGGTTATATAGGGTTATAGGCATCATATTGATTCTATAAAAAGATATATTAAGCAAAGAAATGATGTTATTTACCTTTTGTGATCCATAACAGAAAATATAATATTACTAATATAATAATATATAGTGGTGTTCAAAAAAAAATGACAATTTTTAAAATCACAAATGATTATCGCACCAATTAAAATGTATTTTGTATTATTTTAAAGCCGAAACTCGGCAGATTTTATTAAAAAAATTTAATATGATATTCTTTCTCCATTTTTTTCAATAACCTCTCTACAACGTCGTGGCATTGAATTTACAAGATTAATTAGAACACTATTTGGAACTTTTTCCCATTCTTCACTTAAAAGGCTTTCTAATTCGGTAAGATTTTTTGGTTTACGTAACTCTACGTTCCTCTTAACGATTGCCCAAAGATTTTCAATAGGGTTCAGGTCCGGACTATTGGAAGGCCAATCCATAACTTCTGGGACGTTATTTTTAAGAAATTCTTTAGCAATATGACTATTATGTTTAGGATCGTTATCTTGTTGTAGGCGCCATCGTCTTTTTAATATTCTGTTAACCTCCAGAATATGTTTTTCCAAGATTTCTATATAGAATTTTGCATCCATTATACATTGAAAACAAAAAAGACTTGTTTTTCCTTTTATTTAAAAACTTCCCCATGCGAATATTTTTCTTCGGTCCTTTGGCATACGACGAACTGGTCTTGCATTTTTTACCAGTGTTTAATTGTATTACGAAATAGTTGAAAAGATGTTTCGTCGCTAAAAGTGTTTTTTTCCAGTCATCATCTTTATGTTTTTGTGCCCATTCAATACGTTTTTCTTTATGAATAGACGTGAGCATTGGTGTACAGAGAGGAAGAGCATTTTGATATCCAAGGTTGGTCAAATGTCTTGAAACTGTTAAACGGGAGGCATTTACTCCAATATCTTCTAATTTAGAAGCAAGAGACTTAGCAGAAAGTGATGGTTGCCTTCGGATATACTGCCCAATTGCTCGAGATGCTGCTGGTGTTATTTTTCTGATACGTCCATTACCACCTTTATGTTTGACATTCCCGGTTTCTTTTATTTTTTTAAGGTTTCGATAGATAGTTTTAAGTGGAATGTTTGTTAATGAGTACATTTTTGAAGCATTGCATATTCCTTGCCTCCAGAAATGTAATATTGTTTTTTGTTGTGTTTCTTGCTTGGAGGGGGCCATTGTAACGCTTGGAAAAATATAATTTTTATTATTAGGTGGGAAATTTTTTTCACAGAACGATAGACAATCATGAATTTATTTGTTGTGTAATTCTGGCCAAAATCGGGATAGTTACATTTGTTGATCATTTTTTTAAAAAATTGTCATTTTTTTTGAACACCACTGTAATTGCATTATCCGTTATATATAAGAGCACTTCTGTGAATTCAGAATAGACATCAATAACGCCTTTATGTGAAGTTAGCTTAATGATAAGCAAGTGAATAAAGAGAAAAAGAAAAAATAAAGAAGAATTTAAAATACATTAAAAAGTACTGTTAATAAAAAAATTTAATATTGACAAATTTTTGGTTTCAGCAAGATTTCGCTAAGTTACAAAGTATAATGACTTAATTTATATTTAATGACTCAAACTAATTCTCAAAAAGCTCGTATTTTCTTTATACCATGAATAGAGTTGGGCAGTGGAATTTGTTTTCATATTTGTCAAAATATTTCAATATGTCTAAATAAAAGTCAAATGTTTAATATATATTAAAATGTCTAAATGCATGTTGGATTCTAAATATATGTCACCTGAGAGAAGACGTTCACTATAATAATGGCCATGAAGCGCTTTCTATTCTCTCAGTTACGTATGTATCCATTATTTTCAAGGCGCATGTATATAACAATAACTGTTAAAATTAATATAAATTATAATTATATATCAATTCGAGGTGAAATAATCAACAATTGAACAATTAAATATATGTCAATAGTCAAAATGTACGTCAAAAATTCTAAATGCATGTTGAAAGGCATACCAAATGTTTGGGCATATATGACGTAAGTAAATTAAATATAATATATATAAAATTTATTAATTATTAAATAGATTATAAAATCTTTACGCTCCTCCTTAAAAATTTGATAACTAATTCATAAGAAACTCACATGTTTTTTATATCTGACAGCACGCAATGTGTTATGGATAAAATAAAAGAAGTAATAATAAACAGACAAAAACATGAATTAAAATAATTCTTAAGAAACTCGCACGTTTTTTATACCTGACAGTCAGACACCACGGGACAATGCAGGGACAAAAATTATTTTTTTAAAACGTAAATAATGCAAACTTTTACTATAAAAAATTATTTTGAGTCATTAATTAAAGTTGCTCAGAATTGTTTTTTACATATGTTTATTTATAAAGTTTTAATATATCTTTATAAGCTCGTTAAGGGTAGGGACGCGAACAAAAACCCAGGGTTATGCAAAATGTGACTGCACTCAATGTGTTATGCACCATTTATCTTAATACAGATGAAAAAATTTAGAAAATAAAAATAATAAACAGGAATAAATAAATTAATAAATGGAGGGAAAATTTGAAAGTTCATCTCTTGATTCTATTGTGTAGTACATAAAAAAATCAATTTTTTTGCTTTTTGATGCAATGATGCAATAATGCAATGTAATGTGATCGAATCAAAAAATTTTATTACTGTATGAATTTATATTGTATGCGTGTTTTAAACGTAATCATTGATTGAATAAAAATATTACAGATCACCTAACGGACAATTCTGGGTTTTAACATAGCGAAGGATCTGTCCCTTATGCAAGTCTGTCTGTCCACCCATGTGACTCAATCAGATAATAATATTAACAAGTTACTATATACACTTATTTTTTAGCTCCGACTTACAACAGTTCCTGTTTCCCTAGTTATTAACTTGTGTAACAATAATTTTTTCCATAAAATTTGATTAAATATTATCACAAAAAAATTTTCTTTTAGTAACAGAAAACGCTTATAAGAATACTACGTTGTAATTTTGAACGCTTGCCGCCTATCGTTACACTAAAATTTTAATTAATGAATACAAAAATTATTACCTATAATTGAAGTAACTGGCCTGCTGACTGATTAATCTTTGGTGATTTATAGCTTATCATATTGATGGCTTTATATCAATTGGATCGTTAAATAAAAAAAAATGTATATGTTTTTTATTATGTCGTTGGAATTGATTTATAAATTTTTATGAAATACGTGGAAATTTCACTATTCCAACCAAAATAATATCTGCTATGCATTCTAAGTATATTGATAGAAATTTAAACTTCGTAAATTTTTTTAATAGGCAAACCCCCAAGTTTGACATTTATATAGATTTCTAATAACTTGATAATTCTGAAATTAGTATCAGTATCTTTTCTGTAATCAGATATAATTAAGTTTATTTATATTATTTCAAATTACATTATGCAAAGGATAATGCACACATGAAAGTTATCATTTTGTGTTCAATGAAAACACTCTTTGTTTATCAGATCATTTCTAAAAATAAAGATTTTCTGATTTTCTGATTATGTATTATGAAGAGACGTAGTACATGCATTATACGGAATTCTGAACAATTCCTTTTTAAAATGAATATTGATAAATAAATTTAAAAATAAATTTAAAAATAAATTTTTTAATTTATTGCGCCTCCCGCTTACCGTTTTTGGAAAATAGAAAAAATAGAAAGAAATTATTTTACTAAAATAGATAGACATTATACAAATATTTTTAATTTGAGTGAAATTAAAAAATAATTCTTTATTGATGACATGAAATCATTAAGCAGATTTTTAAATAAAAAAAAAAATATAAAAAAAGACCTGAATTTAAACACCGAATTTAAATACTGGAGTTCAACTTTAAAAAAAAAAAAAAATCGATTATAAATATTTTCATCATTTCTATTATAAATGTTTAGCTTGGATCTCATCAGGAATAGTTTAGAATAATTTATAACAACAATTAATTGATGTAAGAAGGAAAAGCGATTGTAAAATTTAATAAAAATAATAATAAAAACCCAAAATATTTCCCGCAAAATAAAAAAAATAAAATCGAAAATTTAAATAATGCAGGAAATTAAACATATTCAAGATAACAATAATTTTAGTTACTCTGGAGCAAAATTAGCTTCTCCCTCGAGTATTCATTCTCAAGTATCGCCCAACGTAAATAATAATAATTATAATAATAATTATAATAATAATTATAATAATAATTATAATAATAATTATAATAATAATTATAATAATTATAATAATAATAATAATTATTATAATAATAATTATAATAATAATAATAATTATTATAATAATAATTATAATAATAATAATAATTATAATAACAATAATTATAATTATAATAATTATAATAATAATAATTATAATAATAATAAAAATTATTATAAACACAATAATTATAATAATAATAATAATAATAATAATAATACAGAACGTAAAAATACAGAACTTTCATCTCATAGCAGTTATAGTTCCATTGGTTCCATTAGTGATGGATATTATTTAGACTCCACTCCACGTACTTCAATTACTACGCTGGCATCATCATCATCTATCACACTTAATAATACCGATCGGCTAGAATTTAATGAGACTGATGAATTATATAGATTACCGGAATTTAAAGTGATATCTATTTTACAAAGAGATGATTTAGAAATACCAGAAATAGATATATGGAATGGTCTTATCACTTGGGGTATAAAAAACACTCCATCAATTAATTTTGATGACTATGATACCTCGAATTGGTCATCACAAGATTTTATTGCACTTCAAAGAACATTAAAAAATTGTATACATTTGATTCGATTCTTTCAAATAAATACCGAAGATTTTGCAAGATATGTTGCTCCTTATAAACAAATTATACCTCAAAAAATAATTGGTAACTTTTTACGTCAAAAAATTACTGGACATCTTGAATTATCAACGAAATCCACGTTATTACCTCCAAGAATACCTCCAACTTTAATAAATTCTAGAATTCTTACTGGTCGTCATGCTTCAATTTTATCAAATTGGTTAAATAATGATGAATTATTAGGAGGAAAACCTTTATATAAATTTAATCTTCTTTATCGTGCAAGTCACGATGGAATATCTTCAAAAATATTTAATCGAAAATGCGAAAATCATGGTGCAACTGTAATAATCGTAAAACTTTTTGGTTTAGATCAAATTGTTGGAGGTTATAATCCAATAAGTTATCGAAGACGTGATAGTTTTATATTGAAAAAAAATAAAAAGGATGATAATTTAAAGCAAAAAGATTCATTCATATTTTCTTTTGGATCATCTTATTATCCTGAAGAAACAGCAATTATTAGTAAAGTAGATCCACAATATACAAAAGAAACAAGATTAATAAAAAATTCTTTGGATGGACCATGTTTTGGTTTGGGTCCAGATCTTTGGATTAAATTAAATAAATTGGACGAGAAAAAGGTTCATCATTGTGTTTTCACCTACGAAAATAGAATTTTAAATAATGAGAATGTAGAATGGGATGATATAGAAGTATTTCAAGTTGAAAAAAATGAATAATTTTTATCAACTTTTCATCAATTTTATCAATCTTATCAATTATATCGCGAATAATAAAATTACTTCAATATCTTATAATATTATATCAAATTTGTAAATAATTAAATAAAATATAAATTTGGTTTTAAAAGAATTCTTCAACGTGCAATAATTATTCGGAAAAACGATAAACAATATATAATAAATTAGAAATCTATTTATATTCCCTTAATAAAATCAGGTATATTCTAAATATAAAAAAGAATCTATTGTTTTCTTTTAAAAAATCTTTATTTTATTAGAAATAAATTAAATAATCGGATGAGAAATACTCGATCATTTGGCATCTTAGATTTATAATTCAACATTAATTTGAATTGTAATTTCATTAAATTTATTTTCTTTCAATTTCATACAATTCTTCAATGGGATATCCTAACATTATGGCATAATACTTCAGGAGCTATGTTTTGGCCACTTAATACTTCAAGAGTTACACCAAAAATATTTTTGAATTCTTTATTATGAGATATAAATATTCTGTTTATTTGTGCACGAAAAATTTCTTACTAATAACTTATTGAGAGTATGTTTTTATGAAACAAAAGGAATATTATTACAATGCGGAATCTCTAAGATAGGAACTTGGTTATAGTAAAAATTGATCAACTTTTTTACATTAAAACTTTGTTTTCAATAAAATTCTAACCGTAGAAAATAGTAGTCCAGAACCATAGGCTTTCAGAATCACTGGTTAAAATTTTGATCCGATTTAAATTGATCAATTTTTACTGGGGTTAAAGTCATATGTATTTAATTATACTTATTAAATTTGAGAATATTCTAAAAATAGTAAACTATTATAATTTCACTTAAAAAATTGTTCTTGAAAGTTTAGATTTAATTTCTTTAACCATTTAAAAATATGAACAAAATCCTGGGAGCATAGATATATGTATATGTTGCGCCTCTTGACTTAGATGTCAACTGACCAGAGTTAGGGTTAGGGTTGGCTGAAATTATAAAGATCTACATAAGAATAAGATCTACATAAGAATAAGATCTACATAAGAATAAGATCTACATAAGAATAAGATCTACATAAGAATAAGATCTACATAGGCCAATTCTATAATTCGGGTCAAAGGGTGACACCAGAGTCAAAGATGAAAAGGTATTACTAAATATGCAGTTAAAAAATATAAGAATTTATTTAACGATCTTTTATTATTATACCATAGTTATGTTTCCGTATTCTTAAATTCTATTGGCTAAAATTACATCAGGTGATGCTTACATAATTGCCTCCCTCAAAATTTTTACATGTTTATATAGGCTTGGGAGATGAGCCTGATATTTGTATGCAAAGCCCAACTAGATTTTTTACTAAAATATTTAATATATCCATTCGCGTTGATGAGTTGTTTATAAAATTTTTCATATAATTGTTTTCGTATAGGCTTGAACCTTATTATTTTAAAATTTTGATTGATTATGGTAAGTTGCTAAATTTAAATTCAGATTATAATTGAACTTATCAACCAATGTAAGTAAGGAAAGGAAGATGGCGTTTATGATACATAAAATTAAATAGTGAAATTCTCATATACATATAGGAGCAGGTATCCCTCGAATTATTTTTTGTTTTTTTTTTTAAAAAAAAATAATAACGATGTCCTCAAAGAAATCTGTTTTTATCGCCATCTTATTGGTTATTTGTTTACAAGTAATTTCTTCGCTAGCAAGTTATATTCCAATTTCAGGACTTCCAGGTCCATGGATTATAACAGACTTGGCTGGTTTTAAAATGTACGCTGGCCAATATATTTACATTAAAATAGTTTCCCCCAAATACACTTTGGTTAATATTAATCTCTTGCAAAGAGGATCTGTTAACAATGAAACACTTCTCACAAACGTCGGATTATACTATGGAATCAGCATAATTACTGTTGAACTTCCATCATCCGGTAATTTCACAAAAGACAGTCCTCAAAATTATTTCGCCGTATATTCTAATGGAGCAAGGCTTGATTATTCCGGAACCTTCCAAATTGGAAGTCCTGCTTTTGGCCCTAAAATTCGTAAACCACTTGCTGGTGATGTTTTAAGGATAGGAGAAGTATTAGTAGCCACTTGGGAAGGATCCTATGTTCCTCCAGGTGAAAATGAGACTAGTTTCACATTTGTTAGAGCTTTACTTGAACCTGCAATCACTACTGGATCTGTTGTAGCTTTCAATTTTTTATCTGGTCAGGATCTTAATTTCTCATCCTATACTTTTAATTTCACATTACCTTCAACAATACCTAATAATACTTATTATAAATTCGGATTTTTGATCACATCCAATATTACGGGATATGAAAAGCAAATTTATTCTTCTGGCACTTTCTTAATTCTTAATTGAATATAAAACTATTTACTATTTCGTTCAATTATATGTAACGAATAGTAAATATTATTATTATTATTATGAATAAAGATTAGGGTACTTGTGCTCATTATATTTATTTAAATATATCTTCTTTGGAAGATTATTTTTAAAAAACGTTCAAAATTTTGCGGATCTTGTTGGACGTAAAAGTACAATGATCATTTTTTTTAATAGATTTTATTATTTGTAAATTTTTTTTAAAAAAATCCATTAGATATTAAACATAATAAGAAAAAAGTAAAATTTATGTAACTTAGTAACTTTTACAAAAGTTTTGTTGGTTTGAAGTATTTTTTAAGCATTAAAAAAAACACATCTTAAGCACTATACCATTCTTAAATATGTTCTGGACGCGTCATGATTCGCGTAAGATCGGCCATTAAGAAAAATGAATATTTCAAGTTGCAATGGTGATAAAATAACGAAATTTGCTTGATATTTCACCAAATTATTTGATGTAAGAAACGGATAACGCTGCAGATATTGAATATATCATTCTTTTTTCAAAAAAAAATATAATATCAATTAATGTATAATTTTAAAAAGATCAACATAGGTGCAGTTATGAGGCACAATTCTTTATTTATGATCAGAAAAAAAAGGTTTGTGAATACTAAAGCAAAAATGGTAATCACAGTATCCACATGTGAATAGCTATGCCGCGCCGCAGAGTACTAATTAACCTTGCCCTAATAAGGAATAAATTTTCTCAGCACTATTGCGAGCCACACAAGACGTGCGTAATTACACATAACTGTATAATCGAATCAAATGCTTTTTATTAAATATCCTGGGACAGATAATTTTTTTACTTGCGGAAACCATATTCGTCACCCCGTTAAAACAACTCGCGAAATTTTTTCTGATCATCCACCATAATTATAAAATTTATCCTTACGTGAAATATCGCTTGGGGTGAAATTAATTTCTGGTGCAGCTGTCCGATAAAAATCATGTGAAGTAATCCCGATCTGGTATCTCTTACCTTCCCCTTTCTCTTTTTCTCAATCTCGAGTGAGAACTTCTCGTCCGAACAGTAACACGATTAACCCAAAAAAGGTAATTTTTTGGTGAAAAAGGAAAAGTTTTTGGTGAAAAAGGAAAAGTTTTTGGAAATCATAATAAGGTACACAGGATAATAATAGTATTAAGGTAAATAAATAATGTTATTTCTTTGAAAAATAAGGTTGCATTTGATAAATTGGATAAATGCTTGAAATAAAATTTAGCTAAATTCATAATAATAAAAATAATTATTTTTACTAAATCAAATCCTGATTAATTAAAGCTTTAATTGATTGAATAAATTATTTGACTATCAAATTAAACTTTATACTGTATATATGTACATACATTTGAAGTATAAAATATATTGTACAATAGCTAAATTCTTTCTTTCTCTTAAGTATTCTTTACAGAAGACTTTAACTAAATATTAATTGCCTTATTAAAAATATGAAGAAATCTAATTTTGATGTTCTATATCAACAATAAACCATTCTTCAAGGAATCTATCGCGCAAAAATTTTTAATTTTATATTAACAGCTAACATAATATAATTAAATTATATTTCAAATTTACACAACTACTTCATAGAATAAAGAAATCTATTGTATATAAAAAATTAATTTTCTATTAATAAAAATAATTAATAATTAATTTATAAAAAAAAAAAGTTACTTTTTTGTGATCGTTTATCAACCTTTAATTATCCACTGATAGATTAATTAAAACCTTTTCTATAATAATTTGAAAATAGTCAATTTATACATATTCAGAATAACGTTTTAGGGGTGAAAAGAAATTTTTGAAATTTTAAAACATCCGTAGAGTTGTTTAGCTTAAAAAGAAAATTTCTAAGAAACATTTTATATTTATTTAGCAAAAAAAAAACAGCAATCTATTTTTTCATTAATTTTATAAACTGACAATTTTTAGAGACTATTTGTATAACTTTATGTTATATTAAATGTTGAATTAAAATACCCAATCTCAAAAAATTTTTTAATAAAAATTTTGATTGATATGGTTAAAAATTGATAAACTTATCTATGGGGGTTCTCATATACAGTATTATTATGGCTTACTTCCATTATAGGTGAAAATTAAGAATTACATTAAAATATTTAAAAAGCATAAAAAAAGAGCACAGATTTCTTTTTCTTCAGCCCCCGCCAGTAGTGGAATGCTCCATTTGTCTTAGATCTGCAATCATCGATCGAGTTCAAAAAAAAATTTTATCCTAAAATTTTGAAAAAAAAAATAGAATATCAAAATTATGCAATAAATATAATATTATTTTTAAAATAATAAATAATCTTCGTCAAAAAAAAGGAATTTTAATTTCATTTAATTTAAAAATAAACCTAAAATTATATACCTGCAAGTCTTCGCCAAAAAGCATTATGCATCTACAAAATATTCAATCTGTTTTCTAATTCATATGAAAATTCATATACGTACTATTAATAGTTAAGGCTATTGGATTGGATGTAATAAAAATATAAAAATGATTATACTTAGAATTTCAGACGTACGTTCTTTGTGTAAAATTTAATTTAGATTAATGAAGTAGATCAGATAACGTATATTGCTCTATGAAGTAGATCAGATACTTTCTTTATCCTTCTATTTAAAATCTCTTTATTATTTTAAAGCTTAGGTCCCAAGCATTCAAAAAATGAATAGATTTTTTTTAATTATAGTTACTTTTATAGAAAAATAACGGGTTGAAATTAAGTAAAAATAGTTCTGCGACTAGGTGGTCCGAGTCATTATTTTATCTTGATTTGGTTCACAATATGATAATATTTTCGATTTTTTGTCATTTTCAAGAAATGTCGCGTATTACGTGAATAGATATTTGACATACATGCATGTTATAATTAAAGCATCTACATCTTGCATATCAATTAGTAATGATTAAAACTGTGCCAATTATTTTACATTTTTGATTTGTATGAAGTTTAAAATATGTATAGATTTTCGTTATTATTTATACATATTCCCTTAATTATATATTCAATTAAAAAAAAATAATTAAAAATCAGTTTATACTAAATATAGAAATAATTTAAAATAATCACAGAAAACCTGATCATTTGACATCGTAGATTTATAATTCAGCATGAAAAATTTGTCATTGTAAATTCAACATTTGTTATCAATTATGGCATAATAGTTCAGGAGCTATGCCTTGGCACTTCTCCGCCACTTAATACTTCAGGAGTTATATAATATAATACACCAAAAATATTTCTCTTTTTTATATAGACCAAAATCCGAAATACCCTGAATTCTTTATTATAATATTTAAATATTCTGTTTATTTGTGCACCAAAAAAAATGTCTCTATACGGCTTTTATATTAATAATTTATTAAGAGTATGTTTTTATGAAACAAAAGGAAAAATACTAATAATTAATATAATAAACTAATGATTGATCAAACAATCGATCCATTTTATTTGTGGGGTAACATGGATCATCGAAAATGGAAATCTGGGTTCATATTGTGATAAAGACTAAACGCCATCTTCCTCACAAATGTTAAATTACCAAAATAGAAGCTACCTCCCTCAAAATTACTTTGCTATTTACTTAAACGCATTAAGTATTTGTTTGCATGTTGTGAACCTGGAGAGCTGATCCTGATATTTGTTTGCCAAGCCCCTAAGGCTTGGCTTGTAAGGCCCGAACCAGAATCGAACCAGGCTATTTTTTACCGGAATATTCATTAGGGTCCAAAGACAATACATTTTTTTTATAAAATTTTTCATATATTTGTTTTCGTAAACAAATATAAGCTTGTATGTTGAGGTTATTTTTAAATATAGTAATTTACTTAATTGAAATTAATAACCAATGTAAGTAAGGGAAGGAGAAGGGCGTTTATGATGCATGAAATATAATGAAATTCTCGTATATAAAAGTAGGTATTCCTCGAATTATTTTTGTTTTTTTTAAAAAAAAAATTTTGATTCTTAAAAAAATAATAATGATGTCCTCAAAGAAATCTGTTTTTATCGCCATATTATTGGTCATTTGTTTACAAGTAATTTCTTCGCTGGAAAGTTACATTCCATCTTCAGAAATTCCAGGTCCATGGATTATATCAGACATTGCTGGTGAAAAAGTGATAACTGGTCAAGATGTTTCTCTTGAAATAGTTTCCCCCAAGTACACTTTGGTTAATATTAATCTCTTGCAAAGAGGATCAGTTAACAATGAAACCCTTCTCACAAACGTCGAATTAGACACTGGAATCAACACAGTTACTGTTAAAATTCCATCATCCGGTAATTTCACAACAGCAAGTCCTCAAAATTATTTCGCCTTATATTGTGATGGAGCAAGAATTGATTATTCCGCAACCTTCCAAATTGGAGATCCAGGTTTTGGTATTACCATTAGTAAACCAGTCGCTGGTGATAATTTAAAGATAGGTGAAGAATTAGTAGCTAAATGGAATGGATCCTATGTTCCTCCAGGTGAAAATGAGACTAATTTCACATTAGTTAGAGCCTTACTTGAACCTGCAATCACTACTGGGCCTATTGTTGTAACTTTCAATTTCTTCCCTAGTTCTAATCTTACTTTCTCATCCGGCACTTTAAATTTCACATTACCTTCCACAATACCTAATAATACTTTATATAAATTCGGATTTTTGATCACATCTAATATTAAGGGATATGAAAGGCAAATTTATTCTTCCGGCACTTTCTTAATTAAATAAAAAAAAAACTATTGACTATTTTCGTTTAATTATCATAATTTAATGTAACAAATAATAAATATTAATATAATAAAAAGAGATTAGGGTACTTGTGTTCATTATATTTAATTAAATAAAACAAAACCATTTCTTCTAACATCCTTTATCCTGTTGGATAAATGATTATTTTTTTTTAATAAATTTTATTATTTTGTACAATTTATGTTTACCATAATGAAACTTTTTTTTTGAATAAAGATTTTTCTGTGTACTTTCAATATTTTGGTAAAAGATAAAACGTAAAGAATGAAATAATTTGTCAGACTACATGTACATGTGACTTTAATTTTTTTTTAAAAAATCCATACATGATAAGAAAAAAAGTAAAATTTATGTAACTTAATAACTATTACAAAAAGGTTTGTTACTTGAAGTATTTTTAAGCATTAAAAAAAAATCACTATACCATTCTTAAAATTCTTAAATATGTGTCATGATCCGCGTAAGATCGGCTATTAAAAAAATGATCGCAATGGCGTTAAATTAACGAAATTTGTCTGAATCTGCAAGATATCAATTAATGGAAGAAAAAATAATTTTCTCTAATAGCTGTAGATTATTGGTGCGATCCGGATACCCGTTTATCCAGAACGAATTATCTGAATACGGATATTTATAATTAAATATCCGGATATATCCTGATGTATGTACTTATCCGTACTTATCTGTTGTTATCCGTGCTTATCCGTGCTTACCCGTACTTACCGCATATATCCGTGGATAAAATAAATATTTCACGCGATATACTGTAATATGAATTTTTTATAATATAAGAATCGGAAATAATTTAATTTTCTATTTTAATAAGTAAATGTCAAAAATAGTACTAAGTAAATTTAAATATAAGAATAAATTACGTACCATATTAAAAAAACAGATCTATAATCAAAATTAAAAGAACTATTGGTGGTTAAATTAGAACGGGCGAAAAAAATTTTAAAATAATATTTGTTCGCTCAATTTCAATTTTGATGATATAGATCTGCACTTCTTGACTTTGAGGTTACTTAGTACCGTTTTTGACATTCACTTATGTAGCAACAATCGACGATTTTGAATATGGCTATGTTATATTTATACAAAATCGTCGATCGTTGCTACATTTATATTATAAGTGCAAAAATGCATCTTCCAGACCTATATCATCAAAAGACCAATTGTTATTTTAAATTTTTTTCGCCCTTTCGAACTTTAACCAATAATAGTTCTCTCAATTTTAATAATATAGGTGTTCTACGTAATTTAATCCTACCTTTAAGGTTACTTATTGACATTTACTTATTAAAATAAAAGGCTTATATGTAATAACCATTGAACGGATATCTAAATACCAAAGTACCTATTCGGATAGGTCTTAAACGGAGCCAACAACTACTGTAGATTTGGCCTTACATATATGGGGGCTCCCACAACAAACAGGTTCTCGGCTCAAAAAAAAATTTCCGAATTAATATACATATATAATTAAGCATAATCTCATAAAAAATTTTTTTTTGAGCCGAGAACCTGTTTTTGCTGTGGGAGGCTCATATGCAGTAGTGCCGTTCTTACGCTTAATTCGATTTCAAAATGTAAGATTTAAGTTGATAACTAGAACAGGTTTGTTCTGTGACTTCATCGCTTTTTTATTAATCTTTATTGAAAACAAAATAAAGAATAAAATAAAATAAAAAGATTTTTCAGCTATTAGTTTGTAACGATATAATTATTATTTTCCAAACTTCGTTAGGTTATCTTTATTCATTATTTTTTAATTGCCTATTATTATACAATACTTTTTTTGATCATTCATATTATTTCAATAAAGAATTATAATAGATGGTTTAATCTGACGCAAGAGGCACATATATAAATATAATTTTTTTATTTACTATTAATATTATCTATTGCTGCATTCGGGGTCACTACAGTATCCATAAATTTTTTCTCACCATATGATATTGGGTGCATTCACATAGAGATAACATAATATGGATTACTTGTGAGATTTATGTGATGAAGTAGATATTCAATCCAGATTGAATTTTGGATTAACCAATCACAATCTAACATGATTCGAGTAACCTAATCCAAATCCATGAATGCGCCCATTCACGTGTGAATAGAAATCACAAATTATGACTTTACAATGACGCATTTTGAGGAAGGCATAAGTCTGTCACCAATGAGTGATTTTTATTAAAGATCCTGGACAGAATTTTTTTTACTTGCGGAAACATATTCGTTACCTCGTTAAAAAAAAACTCATGAAATTTTTCTGATCACCCACCAATTATAATAAATTTACCCTTACATGATCGCGTGGGGCGAAAAATTCTGGTGTAGCTGATTGATAAAAATCATGTAAAGTAATCCCGATTTACCTCCCCTTTCATCTCGAGTGAGAATTACTTCATTCATTAGAAAGTTGAGGTCGAACAGTAACATGATTAGCCAAAAAAGTAATTTTTTGGTGAAAAAGGAAAATGTTTATGAAATCATAATAAGGTACACAAATCAGTCAAAATAATATTAGGGTAATAAATAAATGTTTATTTCTTTAAAAAATAAGGTTGCATTGAACAAAGTTGGATATACTTGAAATAAAATTAGTTAAATTCATTTATTTATTAAATAAAAATAAATATTATTCACATATTTTTTAAATAATAAAAATAACTAAATTAAATCCTAATTAATTTAAGCTTTAATTAATTAATTGATTAAATTATTTGACGATCATATTAAACTTCATAAATTAATATATTTACATACATTTGAAATATAAAATATCTTGTACAATAGCTAAATCCTTCGATTATTTCTTTTACAGAAGATTTTAACTAAATATTAAAAAAATATGAAGAAATCCAATTTAATTCTATAACCATTCTCCAAGAAATCTATCGCGCAAAAAATTTTTAATTTTATATTAACAGCTAATATAATTGAATTGAACTATATTTCAAATTTCCACAATTACTTCATAGAAATAAAAAATATCTACTGTATATAAATTTTCTATTAATAAAAATAATTTAATAATAATTAAATAATTTAATTTTATAGAAAGATTTGGATTAGCAAGGTTAATAATCACAAAAAAGTAAATGTTAAATTTTTTTTTTTTTATAAATTATATAATAAATTGAGAATAACCAATTTGTACATATTTAGGATAACGTTTTAAGGATGAAAAGAAATTTTTTCAACAATTTAAAAATTGATAAACATATCTATGGGGAAATGTAGATTTCATATATGCTTGCTTCCATTATCATTATAGGTGAAAATTAAGAATTATATTAAAATATTTAAAAAGCATAAAAAATGAGCACCGATATCTTCTTCTTCTTCAGCCCCTGCCTCCTTTGTCCAGCAGTTGCTCTTCAACGCACACATTAACGGAGTTATACGAAATGGAATGCCCCATTTGTCTTAAAAGCCCTCCCGAAGTCTTGACATTCCGATCTGCAATCATCGATCATATGTTGATCGGTAAAAAAAATTTTTTTCATTTTTGAAAAAAAAAAAAATAGAATATCAGTTAAGACTAAAGTATACAAGACTTTGATAAGCATGCAAATTATGCAATAAATATAATATTCTTTTAAAATAATAAATAATCTTCGCCAAAAAAAAAAAAGAATTTTAATTTAATTTAATTTACAAATAAACCTAAAATTATATACCTGCCGATTTATTATGAAAAAAATCAAATTTGGATTTGGGATGTACACTTTATGCATCTACAGAATATTCAATCTTTGTTTTCTAAATTCATATGCAAATTCATATACGTACTATTAACAGTTAAGGCTATTATCCGACATCGGATTAGATGTAATAAAAGTGATCATACTTAGAATTTCAGATGTACTGTACGTTCTTTGTTCTTTGTGTAAAATTTAATATAGATAGCATTTAATGAAGTAGATCAGATAACATTTTAATGAAGCAGATAATTTATGTTGCTCTATAAAGTAGATCAGAAAAGGTATATTGCTCTTTATCCTTCTATAAGTTCATTATTTTATCTTGATTTGGTTCCCAATATGATAATATTTTCGATTTTTTGTCATTTTCAAGAAATGTCGCGTATTACGTGAATAGATATTTGACATACATGCATGTTATAATTTTCCTGCTCCTCAAAGTATCTACATAATACATACCAATTAGTAATGATTAAACTGTGCCGATTATTTTACATTTTTGATTTGTATGAAGTTTAAAATATGTATAGATAAATAATAAAGTATGACAAAGCGAAGCTGACAAATAAATCTCGGTACTTTGCAGTTTACATTTGACATAATAAACACGTGATTTTCAAGTTGTATCTCGAATTATTACTCGATATATATTCATTATTCTTTTTAAATGAATAATTAAAATGGAATAAATTTTATGACTTAATCCGAAATGGTATAAATTAGTAAAGATGTTACTGTAGTTCAAAAATCTTCCCAGAATTTAATTTGCTTACTTACTCCATTTATAATTAAAAATTTTTTTTTTTGAGAAGTTCCCCAGAATTCTTCATGCATAGAATCTTTGTGTACATTAGGATGACAATGTTATTTTGAAATTTTTAATAATAAAAAATTTGGATGTTAAAAAAATTTAAAGTTCGTTCTTTTCATATGATTTATATATGGAGAGTCACGTTATGTGACTTTAATGTAAAATAATGTACCAATATAAATACAAGATGATGCAAGATAATATTGATAACACTATATATATTTTTTTATATTTCCTTATTATTTTTTTTTGTGAACTTCGAAAAAGAGGAAACAATGCTTAAAATGGAAATCACGTGTAGTCAAGACCACATAATTGAGGCTTAGATATTTTGCAAAATTCATAGAATTTACGTTTTATTGCATTTTTATAGTGTAGCATTTACTTTATAAGTACAAGTACAATAGGAATATAAACAAAATATTCAATGCAGATAACGATTTGACCTTGCAGTAGAATAAATGTGTAGCATTTATTTACAGTTATACACAGTATAATTATAAGTACAAGCACAATAGGAATATAAATAAAATATTTAATGTAGATAACGATTTGACCTTGCAGTAGAATGAATTTGCAAGCAATGAATGAATTTGCAGCGATGAATTTAACTCAATTTTCACATGAGGTATCGTCATTTTGTTCTCACGGTTGTTTCTCATATTGTTTTATTTTTTGCATTAGATAAGTAAAAATACAAAAAAAAAAAAAAAAAAATTCAATAAAGCCATGTATTTTAATAAAGTTTTCTCGACAATGAGACTCAATTTTATTGTTGGTTGTGACATCACGCAAATAATTAATTATACGATTTTAATCTTAAAGAAATGCATATAAGTAAATTGTAATATAAATTGTAAATTATAATATAATTATGTGGTTAAAGAAAAAAACAAAGACGAAATAAATAAAACATTGCCAGGCCAGGCCGATAAAAGGGGATCATTCGAAAACAGAAAAAAATGTAATGAAATAATAAAAATAACAATGGAATATGTACAACTTTGAAGTCATCAAGTTGCAATAATTATTTACATGTCTCTATACACATATGAAGATGAAAATATTATTTACATATGTTGAATAATGTATTTACACTAGCAAAGATGTACATATTATAAAAAAAAGAGTAAAAAAAAACGATAGTATTTAACATACATAACATCACTAAGAACCCGTCAAGTGATATTATAAAATCCTGTTATGGAGACGAACACTAAAAAAAAAATATCAAGGATATATGATTTTTTTTTTTAGAACGAATTTGAATTTTTAAAAAAAAACGAAATGAGAGTTGGTTTCCACGATAAAAAAAAAAGAAATAACGGTTTTATCAACTTAAAAAAACATATATTTATAAAGGTAATTTTTTGGATAATTTGGATAATTTGGGTAATTTTAAAAAAATGGTGTCGAGAAAGTTCGAAAAAAAAAGAATTGATGATTTGTGTTTATTTATTATTCGCAGAAGAAAAAAAATAAAAGTTTGGCATATATTTTTTTTTTTATTTTTAATAAAATATATAGGTCATTGTAAGATAATGTAAAAGATGAATTGCACAACCTGATTTAATATTATGAATTACTCTGGTTTAAAGATGAGAAGAAGAAATGTTTTTAAATGTTTTTAATACTTTTAGTGCGCATATTTACAATATAGATTATGAGAAGGAGCGACTCATAAAATCAAGGTTGGGGAAATGTGCAATGACTTAAAAAAAAAATCCAAGAATTTTCATTAAGTTTATTATTTTTTTTTTTTATTTAGAAAAAAAAGGAACCCAAGGACAAGATTAAAGAAGGAGGGCTATTTATCTATAAAATTTTTATCAGAAAAAAAAAGATTACCATTTTAAGGTAATTATTTAAAGTCAATACGACATCCTGAATATCTTTGACCCCTTTATTGTTCTCTATCTTTAGAAATATATTAAATATGTTTCGAATATATATATAATGTTTAAATTTATCTGATTCTATCACGTTCTCCGAAACACCGACTATCCCCCGTCTATCATTATATCATCACCCTGAAATAAGGTTAAATAAGTTTCTTTATGGTATTATTTAAAAGAATAATTTTTCAATGAAAAAAAAAGACAAAATAGTAATTGAAATAGTATTAAATGAATGGTAATCTAATATACATATAATAGAATATTTAATCGAAATTTTTCGCGTTTGGGATTTTTCTCGGGGCATTAACATAAAAGTTTTTGCCGAATTTTATAATAAGTTTGCCCAATCATGAGCATATGACATATGACATAATATAAAATGTATATTTTTATTATTTATATATTTATTTCTTTTACGTCGCGTTTTGTTAAAACTCGTGAACAAAAACAAAATTCGAAGTTTCTATCAATTTCTACGCCAACGCAATTTAAACTTTTTTGAACAATCAAATAAGCTTAATTAGTAATATATATACATATATAATAGCTTGCATTTAAGCTTTGCATTTATAAAACTTGATCTTTTCATTTAAGGAAAATTTTGACAGATAAATTTTTCTCCAAATTTTTTTAAAAAAATGGAGTTTTGATTACTAAAATCAAAAAATTGTAATGGTTATCCACAGCATTTCCTTTATTATGTTAAAATTTATAAATATAGAATTTTTAATTAGTTATATTGTTTCCATCGTTAATTAATTCATTCATTCATTCTTAAATTATTCTCGCATAAACCGGTTGTCCACTACTACTATAAAAGATACCATTCAGAATGTTATATTGTACGATAACCGTATAATTTATCTAAGTTATGTAAATTCTATGATTATTATTATTTTTTTTTTTTGCATAGGTTTGCGTATTTTTGTATTTTGCGTTATGTAGTATTACATATGCATTGTTATATTTAATTATTTTCAAACAATGACTCAAAAAATAAAATAATATATGATTTTTTATTACAAAGATCGATAAAATAATTCACGGTATAATTGTTAAAAATATAAAAATAACCGATAATTTTAGAATAATTGTGTGAAAGAAAGTGAAGAATTGACCGTGTAGCCTCATGCGTCGAATGAATCGAGTAAGTGGATCATTGACACGACACAGAGATGTTGTCTTTCTTTACATCTTTATTTTTTTTTTATGTATGATTATCAGTTAATATCAAAAATTGATAATTGATATTTTTTTTTTTTTTTAATTCATTGATTTATTTTATTCATTGTATAAATTATTTTGTACTATCAAATAGGTTCCTTTTCTCATATTTCACTTTTCACTGCTATAATGTTGGTATAATACAATTTCATGGATTGTCTTTAAAAAAATGTTACATAGTCAATAGACTATATTTAGACTATACATTTTACAATATTATAGTATAAAAACAAAAGATATTTCACACGCTTTTTCCGAATGTGAATTACCTATTTTTAGTTAGTCAAATTTTACATAGGTATTTTCATAATGATGCAGGATTAAATTCTTGTGTCAAAAATAAGTCTAGAACTTAGCTATCCATTATCCCCACTGCCAAGAATTATATATATTTCCAAAAAGAAAAAAATGGCAACACTTATGTATTAAATAATAAATGAAAGTTATCGCATTCTCGGGTTGAATTCATTAAACATGTAATTTATCAATTTAGATCCAAACAAAAATATAATTGATAATGATTTCCATCAACTTTTGAATATAATTAATAATATAAATATAATAATAAATATAATTGGATATAATCAAGAATTTAGGTGATTATTCAAGAAGTTCAAGGGAGTTCTTAAATACAACAATACCAACATACCCGAAAATACAATATTTGTTAAGGTATTTTTTACATACATTTTCCTTTGATTGTTTGTTATAATAGACAATATGTAATATGCTTTTACTTGGTTCACTAATAGAACAATCGTTATAGAAGATAATGAATTATTTATACTAATAGTTTAATTAATCGTCACGTCACGACACTTTCAATTACGATTACATTATTTATGTCTATAAAAAAAAAAAAAGTAAGCAGTGACGCCTCTGACATCTGACATAATAAAATTTATTATTTAATTAATTATTCACCTCCACATCGTGTTTGTTTTAATAGACAATATGTAATATGCTTTTACTTGATTCACTAAATAGATTTTTAACTACGACTACATTATTTATGCCTAAAAAAAAAATTAATGTAAGCAGTGACGCCTCTGACATCTGACATAATAAAATTTATAATTTATTTCATTATTCATCCCCACATCGTGTTTAATTGTTTAAATAATCAATGAAAAAAAATCATTGGGTTAAAATATTTGTAAGAATATTTGCATGCATATATAAAAAACAAATAAATAAGGCAAATAAGGTATGACAAGTAAACTTAAAGAATATGTATTATGCTGTATAACATTTATTATTATTATTATTATTATTATAACATACATAATTAAACATTACAAAATATTTTTGATTCTATAGCTTCAATTAATCTATCGCCTAAAACCCAACTTAAAGCTGCGATCACTTTAGAATCCAATCCTACATAATAAGTATCCATTGGATAAGGAGAAGTTAAAGCATGAACTATAGCATTAGTAACAATTTCTGTGGGCATACTAATTACACATTTTCCAAAATTCTCTCCTACAGATTTATATAAATTTGAATAATTAAACAAAGCATTAGGTGAGATATTATTATCATTATCTTCATCATAATAATAAGGGGATGTTGATGAAAAAGATTTGAAATTACGAAAGTCATTTATTGCTCGTTCGGACCGTCTGGTGGAAATGACACCTAAATTAATTAATAATTTAATTAATTATTTATTAATAATAATTTATTAATAATTTATAAAATCAATCAAACACATATCAATATCAATAATAAATTAATAAAAATATAAATATAAATAAAAATATAAATATAAATAAAAATATAAATATAAATAAAAATATAAATATAAGTAAAAATATACCGTACTTGGTTCAATTAATGAAAAGTGAATACCCATCGTTCTTGTCTCCATTCTCCAAATTTTAGTCATTATTCTAATTGCTGCCTTGGTCGATGAATTAATTCCCATCATAGGAGGAGCATTCCAAGAATCAATGCTACCAATATTAATTACTCTTCCGTGACCTTCTCTTAAAAGTGGTAAGAATTTTTTGGTAACATTAATAAGACCAAAGTAATTGGTATTAAAACTATCTATAAATGCATCTTCCGAAGCTACTTCAAGAGGTAAATTTATGGATAATGCTGCATTATTAATCAATCCAATTAATGGTGTTTCACGTCTAAGATCATTACGAATAAATGTACAAGCACTTTGAATTTCTTGTTTATTTGTTACATCCATAACAATTGGTTTAAGATCTCCTTGTTTGGGATTAATTAATTCTTTAAATATGGCGCAAAGTTTTTTGGCATCTTCTTCTTTACGAACTGCCGCAAAAACCTTATATCCTTGTTTAACTAAAGTTAATGTGGTATCAAGACCAATTCCACTAGAGGTTCCGGTTATTAAAATAGCAGGGTGATAACCATTGGTTGGAGAAGGTAAATGAACATGATAAGGTTTTTGTTTAAGAAGATAAAAAATTATTAAACTCAATAAATAATTATAAGCATAAGTAATATAATTTATAATATTATCAATAACTTTGATAACTTTGTTAACAGTGGAAGTCATTTTTGCATTTCTAAAAAACAAAAATTCTCATAATTCTCTTTTTAGTGTCTTTTATAGCACAATGTACGACAAGTACATAGTATGTACCACACTACCATAATGTATATCAAACTATTACACCACACCATCTTTATTTTTTTTTAAAAAAAAAAAAAAAAAACGCACTTGAATACATAAAAACTACTACAGGATTTGGCTATTACTAATATATACATATTTAATTAATGGCACTCAGAGATTATTATACTATCTTAAAGTTTAACATAATTTGAATTAATTTTTAATTTTAAAGTTATGAATATATTTGACAAAACTTAAGGTTTACTAATATTTCAAATCACATGAAAAATTAGTAAATCAAGTATAAATTTACCCAAGTAAATAGGTATTTCTATATACTTTATATTCTTAAAGATGTATATCCTAATACTTGGGTTTCTCCTTTTTTGGTGTATGTAATTATTTTCATTATAATATATCTTAAATTTATTATATTCAATTCATATATCACATGTTTTTCATTATGAATTACGTAATTTCATATCATAATCACACGTGTACTATTATTAAGCACATGAGGAGAGGATAAGGAATAACATCACGTTTGGGGGTTTTTTTTTTTAATTTTGAGTTTGAATTTTTAAAGAATTCGATGCGATGTTTCGATACATTTCGATTTATGCGTTTTATATTTCCGTTGTAATAAATTAATAATAATAATAATACAGTGTAATAGTAAGGAAATAAAATGTTAAGAAGAAAAAAAAAACAAGAATTAAAGGAATTCATAGCGTCCTTTTATTTATCTTTTATCTTCTTCATTTCTTCTCTTTGCTTGTTAAAAAAAGTTTATCTTAAATTTCACCAATAAAAAAGATGTTTTGATTTGTGGCATTATTTACTTTATTTGTTTACTCAAATTTATTGATACTTCATGTAATAGAACAAAGGAAAATTAAGACTTTGTTCTAATAATGAAATTCATAATACCAATTTTGTGAATCGGAGAATCTTTTTTTTTCTCTAATGATTCTAATGATACGGTTAATATGTTAATAAGGTTAATTTTAGCACGCTTACAACGAAGATCTTTATTTACTTACGAAAGGCGGTGATAATAAATAAATAAAATTTTATTTGACCAAAAATAAAAATTTTGGTCATTCATTGTTTATTTGGTCCTTCGAATTCTTGATCAAAATTTACCAACACAATGTGAAATATTCATATCGTGATTGTAAATTCCATCTTTGTTTTTTTTCAAAAAAAAATAAATAAATAATATAGTGCAAGTGGGCGGTGAATAATCGACGGAATTATTTCTTTTTGTGGACTTGTTTAAAAAAAAAAAAAAAAAGAAATCATTTGACCAACAATAAATAAATAACTTTGCATCTCAAGAAACATTTGACATGCCTGCATACATACATGAAAAAATATTTTTTTTTTATCTTTAACTTCATCAATCAGTTCCGTGTCAATCGTGGGCATAACATAAAATATTTAATTATTTCATTGAAAACCAAAGATTTAATTACAAATCAAAAGAAAAAAAAAATCAAAATCACAATGCATATGAGTTAAAATTTGATTGGTGAAGCTGGGGTTTTAATTTTTTTTTCTTTTGAAAAATTACAAATTGTCACAAAGTGTCACAAGAAGAGAGTCATTTATCCACATTAGAATATTAAATTTTATTTATTACTACCTTTTTTTATTCCAAAGTTTCTAATTTCATTTTCATTATGTCCAACTTCAGGTAATATTTCTATCTGGTGCTGCTCCTGGAATATCTTTTTTTTTAAAAAAAATTCTTGTTTTGTTACACCGAACATTTCATTTTACCTTTTATAATGTACTGTAATCATTGAATTGAAATTCTGATTGTCTTATTTCCAAAGAGAATTAAAAATCAAATTTTAATTCAGTAAGTTCAAAATAATATAAATATTTTCATTTATTATTTTATTTATTTTTATTTATTTAGGAGGAATTATTGATTTAGAAATTTGTGAAACTAAAAAATTTTTTTTTGATAATGTTAATCACTGATAAATTTGATGAATACATTTTCTCTTGTAAAGTAACCAGTAACCAAACCTTATTTCTGATGCTGATAATTTCATTTTCCCTCAAAGAATCTGCATTATTGTCTCTTTTCAAACGAGATGACTTACAAATCGAGGAAATTAAAATTTGGATTATGTCAACTGGGGAATTTCTCAAACTTCTACTTTTGATGTTTGGACCAAGGAAAATTTCCTTACACTAGAGATTACAATGTTTACCTCATATTCACTATTTATTTTCATCTTTCAAGTATTGAAGTTAAATATATCAATCAACAACTATTAATTCCTGATCAACTAGTAAAAGCAATCATTTCATCATCGAGATCAATTTGGTTATATAATTATCTACTCGTGCAGAAGAACCAAAAGAATCTTTTTCGACTATCATAAAAATTTCTACATGGATTTGATCATATTAAGATGATTGCTCGTGATGGATTGCTACACAACCATTTTTGGGATATGTGACACGGTTATTCTGGTACAATAGTTTTAGTAAAATTTGCGGTTATAATCTTTTACCGTGGGATAACAGTTTGATTGGAAATGGAAACAAAAGAATAGTTTCATTTTCTCATTAAGATTAAAAAATAGCAATATTTAAATCAATTCTTAGCAGAGTAAATAAAAAAAAAATCCAATGGACAATTCTTAATATATGTATGTATCTAAACATAGTCAAAAAATATTATGATCCACGTTTTGGGATTTAATTGTCTGGAGCGTAGAGTAAAAGTTCTGATCTTGATGCATGATTAAATTCATAAAATATAAAATATCAGAAAATGTAGATTGTCAGATAAATGACACGAGATTACACAAATGAAAATAAATACAGCGAACCCTCTATAAATACACGCCCGGGGAATTAGCATTAGGGTGAATTTATAGAGGGGTGCACCTTATAGTCAGTGTTGTCAAATTTGCATGTCCCCAGCTTTTTTGACTGTCCCTATGTCCCATGTCCCTATATTTAATTAGCTTATAAATATGTATTAAACTTCTAAAAAAAATAATTTTTGTCTCAACATTGTCCGAGGTGTCCCGTTGTGTCCCTTGACAACACCGACTTATAGAGGGTTCACTGTAATTTATCCAATCGGACTAACAATGGTTTACCATTTCCTAGTAATAAATCTTTTTTGTTTTAGTCTTTTCTGTGGTAAATATGGCTATAATTATGAAAAGGTTATAAGATTATTTCCAATGACGATTGAAAAGTTCTATGTTGCTTGTATATCGGTATTTATTAAATAACTAAAATTATATATGTAGAATGTCTATTTAAATTTAATTATGGTTAGTAATTAAAGTATACTTTTTAGCAGTTCATCCAAAATACGATGCAAAAAAAAAAAAACAATAATAATTTAAAAAATATTTATTATCATTAAAAAATAAATAATAATAAATTTAATTTTTTTTAATTATAAGATTTCGTCACGCTCCATTTCATTTCACTTAAAAGGCATTGTTTCAAATTAACAGAACAGTTAATATGAATGATGGCGTTAGTAAAAATGGAATTTGACAAATCATATAGAAGAATCGGTTTTTCTAACTGGATTAGATTTGGATGAATGTTACTTAATCAATTTATCAGAACTTTAATTTATTATTATTAAAAATGTAGGACAAAAAGGTTAGGTTGGATTTTGAAAATTGGTGTGACATAATGATAAAAATGGCAAGAAAATCTTTAGATCTATAATATTTCCCTATACATTCTATACATTGTTAGTTCAGAGATATAAGAAATATATTAAATTTATTAAATTCTCATTTTATCATTAAACACAAATTCATTTTGAAACATCTAAGGAATCAAAAGAAAAACATTTATGAAGATATATAAGTAACATCTATGTTTTTATACAAATAAATAAATAAATAAAAAATATAAATACGCATCTTGTGAAAATTGTATTTTCTACTCGTGATAAACGATAAACGTAATTTTTTTTTTTTTTTTTGAAGAATTTATTTTATTAACAGCGCAAAACTGCAAATTTACTTTATATTTCATCCATAATATCCATAATATCTATACGAGAAATAATAATAATAATAATAATAGTTCCAAAAGTTTCGAATTTTTTTTTTTTTAAAAAAAAAGTCTGATAATGTCGGTAATTGACTTTTGCAAAGAGATGGTAAATTTACAAATATTTCGTTACCTGAATTATCTTTTTCTTATTATATTATTATTACATATATTTATTTATTCGCTTTTTTATTTTTTTTAAAAAATTTCCCTATTTCCTTCTCGGTCAATTACCATTTCTTCGATCGGTCGAATATTTTGTTTGCCATTTCCTCGACTACACTACTACTACTACTACTACTAATACTACTACTATTATTATTACTACTACTAATACTTTAACTAACTAACGTCTCTAGCTAAAAAGAATAAAAAATTCTCCGATAAAATGGATTCACCTCTTTGTCTCGATATCAATAATTCAAGCCATATTGGCCATAATACTTGAATTAAAATTATTTTTACGAAATTTGGATATCTATGATTTAACCTATCGTTGCGGGACTCCGTCATATTTGAAATTATTAGAAAGAGCCATATCCGAGAATATCATTTTTGTGATTTTTCAAATGTTTCAAGTTTGGTTAAATCTTGACGCGGTACGTTTTATCTAATCTTTTTTTTTTTTTGATATTAATATAAAATTTTTAAAATTATTATTATTATTATTATTTAGGTTTTCAGGCGTAATACGATTCAATTGATAACCATAACGGTAATAAATCTTATTTGTTCGGCGTATAGCATTGTAAGTATCTTTTTTTCAATATTTCAATATCTTTTTTTTTTCATTGTTAATAATTTTTTTTTTTTTTTAAAAAAAAAGGTTCAATTAATCCAAATGACATTTTTGTGTCATAGAATTGATGAAAAATGTCAGAACCAAGCTTGTCTCTTAGCCGATGTAACATCTTACAATTTACCACTCATTATTGTACAAATGATTAATTCCACTATTATGACATTCCTTTGTTATAACTTATATCTTGAATTTGGGTGGAATATTTACAGAAGGGTTCGTGGCGAGATTATAATTCAGAGTATGTTTTTTTATATTTTTTATTTATTTATTTTATTTTATTCTAATTAATCTAATTAATTTAAATTTTAATATATAATATATTTAATTATATATATATATATATTTATTGTTATTTTAGAAATATACAAAACAAATCTTATATTTATATTTTTTCTAAAAATTGATGTATTATTTCTTTTGCTATTAAGCATTGAAACGTGGTTTAATCTTATTGGCGATTCAAAAACTCATTTGACTAAAGTGCCAATTATTTGTAATAAATCTACGACGATATTAATTGCTTTTTTGGAAATTCTTGCAATGATGTCGGTGAGTTATCTAATAATAAATTTTATCATTGTTATTATTATTATTATTTTTTTTTTTTATAATTATTATTTAAATTATCATTATTCATTTATTTATAATTATTTGAATTATTTATAATTATTTGATTTATTTAAATAAGGCACGAAAAGAATGGAAATTTGGAATGTACGTCTTTTTCGTTCTTTGGCCTTTTGCGATAATGGATTTCGTAGCTATTTTATGTTTCGCTTTTATAGTTATGAAGAATGAACGTTGGTATTTTTTGATTATCTTTAGTGAGTATTATTATTAATTTTTTTTATCGATCATTATTATTTTTATAATGCTCTCGGTATCACATGATTTATTTATAATTTTTATCAATTACCAGTTTTAATAGGTATCACATTTGCATTGGTAAGTATTATTATAGAATTGATTGAATTGATTTATTATTAAAAGAACTTAATCTTACATTTCTCTTCTTATTATTATTATCATTATTATAATAGCTTACATGGATATGGTCAATTTATGTATATTTTAATTTTAATAAGGGATTAAAAGGAATTCGTAAGTTTTATCTTTAACTTTATTCAATTTATTATTATTATTATTATTATATTATTATTATTATTATTATTAATTATTATTATTATTTATATTATTTATATTATTATATTATTATATTGATTTTTTTTTTATTCGTTATCGATACGAAATAGTTGAAAAAGATTCCGATGTCTTCTCTCCACAACTTGAAACCGCAATGCAAAGTCAAAACTTTGTTATTGATGAATGATAGAAATTTCATTCATTATTACTTTCATCATTATAGATAGATAGATAGATATATATTAATTCATTGCATTCATTCATCATTCAATATATATTAATCATTTTGCATTTATCATTATAGATTAATCATTCATTACATTTATCACTATAGATTATTCATTACATTTATCACTATAGATTATTCATTACATTTATCACTATAGATTATTCATTATTATCATTATTATTACGTTTATCATTATCATTATGTTTATCATTATATATATATATTTATCATCATCATCATCATCACATATAAATAACAATAGACTAGGGTTAGTTTGGGGTGGGGTTAGAGTTTTGGTCTTGGAATTATGGGAATTATGGAAATTATGTAACGTGCTGAAATGTAATTTTGCCTACTGATGTTGATCACTGGTGGGTGGATTTTAACAATATAAACCTTACTCGTAACTTGTAAATACGTTTAAACTTGAACCAAAAATTAATAATTACTTTTGAAATATTTTCTTACAATAAATAAAATTATATTTCATTCTTCAAATAATATTATTTAATTTAATTTAATTTAATTATTTTATTATTTATTTTATTTTATTTTATTTTATTTCATTAAGCACCAAATAAATCAAATATAAATTCGAATATATATATATATATATATATAAAGTATTCCCCCAAAAATGATCGTAACTAATCGTAACTATTTCGCGACTATTCGTAATAATAATAGAATAATAATAATAATAATAATAATAATAATAATAAATAATAATAGAATAATAATAATATGTCACTTCCAAATCTTTTCCATTGTTGATTTTTAAAAAATCCCAGCCATTAATAAATCCATCGATCCATTTCACTTAGTATAAATAAATAGTCCCAAAAATTACTTTTTTTCCATTTCTTTAATTATTTCTTATGTCTATTTTTTACTTTTTCGGAACATTCTTGACAATACCATTTACCTTTCGGTCTATCGGTAAGTCCCACACAAGAAAAATGAAACCATTCAATTTCACATTCACTATTATCACATGCCACCATTTCCCCATAACTAACCTGTTTACAATAACAATATATCGGTTCATTAGGATCAATTGGCATATCAACACTTTGAGTATCTTCATTATTATTATTAGTATTTGAATTCGAATTATTATTGGAATTATTATTATTATTATTATGGGAATTATTATTATTGTTATGATGATTATTATTATTATTATTGTTGATGGTTTTTTCGGCGTTTGAGATCTTTTTACTATTCTTTCCGGAATCTTTCTTTCGTGAAACTTTACCCGGTTTATCACCTCCACCTCCTCCAGTACTACCATTACCACCTCCACCACTTCCACCTCCACCACTTCCTCCACTTCCACTTCCACGTACTTTACTTCCTGGTTGTCTAGATGATGATGAATTTGTTGTTGATGGTGGTGGAGTACCTACACTTGTTATATTATTATTATTAATATGATCTTTATTATTATTATCTTTATTACCTTTACGTTTTTTAGTAGGTGGTTCTCCATTATTACGTTTTTCATTTTTAGAATCTTTTTTATCTCCTCTTTCACTTTTAATAATTTGTTTACGATTTGGTAATTGATGTTGTAATTCTTCCCCTCCACCTCCTCGATTACTATTATTAGATCCAGTAATGGCGATATTATTAGAATTATTGGTATTGGTAATATTGGTAACATTAGTTGTTGTGGCATTTATTCTACCAGGTCCAGTCATTTGTTCGTCTTCAAATTTTTGAAGATCATCATCTAACCTTCGAATGTGACGATCCACCGTGTCATAAGTTGAAGTGGCAAGGGAAACTTTCTCTTCAGCATATTTCGAAGTTGAAGATAATAAGTCCCCAAGTTTTTTAAGTTGTTCAACCCTTTGTTCGGGTGTAAGGTCACCAACTGTATCTAAGAATTGCATGGAGAACTCTCCAACTTTATCAAGTTCTTCTTGTGCACTCGCATCTAGTTGTTGCATTAAAGTTAAACTACGTTGCATCTCGGCAGGTAAAGATTCCAAAGTATCAAGGTAATCATCTAGGTAAACCAGATTTTCTTCAAAACGACTGGCACTAAAATTTTGATTGGAATTTTGAACTGGCATAACTGGCATATTTTTTGAATGATATGATGATATTTTATATATGTTTGGTATATATGATGTTTTTTTTAATGATATATGAAGAGAAAAAACTTAATCTACAAATAGAATTTTTCACATGATTACGTGTAACCGATGATCAAATATATAAATAAATTTAGATTTACAATAATTTAAATATAAAGAAAAGATTATAATTTATTAAATATTGTTATTATTATTATTATTATTAGTATGATATATAAGTTTAATATTATGTATTGTACATTTGTTATATAGATTTTTTTTTTATTCATCATCATCAATAACAAAGTTATTAGGTTGATCAGTTTTTTCACCTTTTTTACCAGAAACTTTTTTTTTCATTATAAATGATAAAAATTGATTAAAAAAAATAAAAAAAAAATAAAAATTAATAAATATAATAAATATAGAAAATAATAACAACAGCAACAACAAAACGTAATGATGATAATAAAATTACTTACGAATATCTTTTACTTTTTTATCAAAATTTAAGTATACGAAAATTCCCCATATAAATGTGACCTATAAAAAATAATATGAAAAGAGTATGTGCGTGTGTGTGAGTTGAATGGAATAATATAAGAATATGCACGTGAAATAAAATTATTATAATACACTTACAATAGCCAGCATAACACCCACTGAAACTGGAATATGTAAATAAATAAATAATAAATAAGTAATAATAATTTTATTAATATTAATATAATAAAATAAAAAAGTAAATAATAAAATAATAATAAATAATAATAAATAATAAAATAATAATAATAATAATAATAATAATTTAATAATAATAAATGAATAAATACTTACGGAAAATTATCAAAAAATACCAACTATCATTTGATACGTATTTCGCGGAAGCATATAGAATAGCTATAAAATCTATAATAACCCCAATCCAAAAAACAAAAAATATGAACATTCCAATTTTCCATTCTTTTCGTGCCTATTAACAATTACATTATATATAATAATTAAATATTAAAATTAAATCAATAATTAAAAATAAATAATAATTAAAGAATTATTATTAAATAATTAAATAAATAATTTATAATTAAAAATAATTATATAAATTATATAAATTAATTTAATTTAATAATAATATAATTGATAATAATAATAATATAATTTAATAAGAATTCTTTCTAGAACCCACCGAAATAAATCCAATAATTTCTGAAAATATAATTAATACGGTTATCACTTTATTATACTGGACTATTCCGTCTGGCACAATATCTTCTTGCGCATTTTTTTGGTTTTCCTTAAGCACATATGTTACCCATGTTTCAATTGCAAATATCAAAAGAAAGAATATATCAATCTTTAGAAATAGTACAAATATCAGATACGTTCTGTACATCTCTAATATATATATATATATATAATTAATAGAAATAAAAGAGTTAATATAAATATAAATGGATTAAGGTATAATTTAAATGAAAGACTTACTCTGCATTATGATGTCACCCCCAATCGTTCTATAAATATTCCACCCAAATTCTCGATATAAATGATAACAAAGGAATCCCATGAGAGTAGCAAAAAGCATATAAGCAATAATAAACGGTACATCAGAAGATACAAAATGTAAATTTAAAGAAGATAATTCACACGCGTTTTCAAGTCTTCCTCTCCAAATTAATATTTCGGCTAATTGGATCTTTTTTTTTTTTAAAAAAAAAAAAAATCAATTCGTTTGATTTAATAATTAATTCGTTAATTGAATAAAAATTAATTCTTTGATCAAATAATAAATGAATAAATAAAAATATTTGAAAAAATATTGAAATACAAATACAAATACAATACTTACAATGCTAAACACGGAACAAAGAAAATTTATTATTGTTATGGTTATCAGTTGAATTGTATTTTCTCTGTAAACCTAATAGTTTTAATAAATGATAATAATAACAATATTTATTAATTTATCAATTTATAATAATAATAATAATAAAAATAACGACAACAACAACAACAACAACAACAAATATAATAATTTAACCCACCGCATCAAGATTCAACCAAATTTGAAACAATTGAAAAAATATAAAAATAACATTTTCTGATTCGATTCTTTCAATTCGATCATCTAATGAATTCACCAAACTAGCATTACATCTAGCATTTGCCATTTCGGGAAAATGGTAAATGTATGATGAGCTTGATGAGTTTGAACTGGATGGTATGGAAGTTGAATTGGTTGTTCTGGCTGATTTATGTAATAGATCTTGTCGTAAATTTTCATTTCGAACGAGTATTAGGGTTTCAAGAATTACTGTTATTATCGCTTGAACTATTGATACTAAAACAAAGATTTTGGACCATTTTGAAGTCTTTTTGAATTTTTTAATCTAATATATCCACCCGTTTGATTATATGTTGATTATTATATATATTGATTATTGTTGGTCATCAATTATATTATTTTGATCATTAATTATATTATGTCGATTATGTAGATTTATGAGAGAGAAGAAAAAAAAAAATGAAAGTTAATAAAAAATGAAAATTCAAACTAACTAATTTCGGATAGAAAAAATAATTCACCTTAGATCCACAACACATCTTTACTTTTATTCTTATTAATATTAACTATTACTAGTTATTACTATCAATTACTATTATTATTAATTATTACTATTATTATTAATTATTATTATTAATTATTATTATTCTTATTAATTATTATTATTCTTATTATTAAAAACAACCGAAATTTCTTTTAAACCCTTTTATTCAACTTCGGTATGACCTTATTGTTTAGTTATCATTACTTGCTCGCTGTAAGTTTATTTTTACTTTTTAATATTCTATTTTACTTATTTTACAAAAAACAGTCTGAATAGTCGCTTCTGTCGTTAATATCAAAAAAAAAAAAAAACCTAAACTGAACTGATAAAAAAAAAAAGGAAACAATAAATAAATAAAAAAAATTAAATAAATTAAATAAAAAATTAAAAATAATCAATAATAATGATAATGAAAATATATTTCATTTAAAATGAGGAAGAAAAGATTAAAAAAAATTAAAATAAATCCTTTCTTCTAATATTATATAAAATTTTTAAGTATTTTTATTTATATATATAAGTCATTTTTTATTTATGTATACATCAAAACCTTTTTTTGTCATTGGAATTCATTATATTATTAAAATTCATTGTTTTTCGTGTCGTGTAAAATGAACTACCAAATATTATTTATACGAATATTACAAAATAACAATTATCAATGAGGATAAAAAGAACCTAAAACTTTTTGTGTAATCAATCTTGGCTTATCTTTTGCATATTTTGTGTACATCTTTTTTACATACATTTTTACATAACACACAAAGTAAACCAAATATAAATAATAATAAATAAACAGGCAACACCCAATCCCAATCGAGGTAAGTGTCAATTGCATAACGCAGAATAACGAAAAATAGAATTTGAAGAATTATTAACGTATAAATAATAAATATTTTACAAATAATATTATTATAAATAAAATAGTATATATATATATAGTAAAAATGGAATGATTAAAAAAATTTCAGGAATTAGATTTTTAATTTTAATTTTAATTTTTTTTTTTTTGATGATAATGATTATAATGATTGATGAAATCTTACGAGAATATATCAAAATAAACAAAAAATACAAGTATAAAAAATGTCAAAAAAAAGAAACCACATACTAAATCCGAAATTTCATATTTCAATGAATTTCTTTTTTCTATAATTCTCCTGTTATTAATTTAACTGTTAATTCACCCATTTCCGTTTCCTTATCTTTAATATTGTAATCAATTCTAATCTTATTATTGTAATTATTATTATTATTATTATTATTGTAGCCAAGCCTAATATTGTTATAATAATAATCGATTCTAATATTATTATTATAATTATTATTATAATTATTATTGTCATCATTATTAGTATTGTGATTATAATTGGTATTATTATTATAATTATAATCATTATTATTATTATTATTATTATTATTATTATTATTATTATTATTATTGTCAGTTATAGGAATTGCAATTCCTTCAACCACCGTTTCTTCTGATAAGATAATAATGTTTTCATCTTCATCTTCATCTTCATCTTCACTTTCTCTCATTAAATCTTTTAAATCTTCTTCATCATCAATTTTTGAATTCTTGTCATAACTCAGGTAATCAACAAGATAAGATCGGGAAATTGGAAAAGGTGTAGGATGAGAGGTGGAAATTTTATCGAATAGAAGAACAAGATATTCAATTGAATCAAAATTTAAGATGGTAAAATTTTCGGGAAAGAATGTTGTAAGGCGAGTTGACTATCATTATTATTATTAAAAAAATTTTGTAAATTTTTATTTTTATTTTTGTAATTTGTAATTATGTAATATAATAAATAAAATATAAATAAATAATGAATGATATGATAAATAAATTAGTGATAATAAATAAAATAAAATGAAGTAAAATATAAAATTTAAAATATAAAATAAAATAAAATATAAAATATAAAATAAATTAAATTAAATTAAAATATAAATAAAAAATAAATTAATATATAAATAAAAATAAAATAAAAAAAAAAATAAAAAAAAAAATAATACCAATTCAACAATATCTTCAAAAACATCCAAAGCTCTATTATATTCTTTAAAATAATAAATTTCCAATTCATCAAGATTCAAGAGGATTTCAAATTTTCCATATTTTCGAATTAAACTTTGAATTTTAAATGAGGTTAAATCATTCTTCAAGATTTCATCTATCGCTCCATATCTTTTGGCTTCTGATAATTTGTTATAATGACGAATATGAGTGACGGATTTTCGATGATGATTACTGCTACTACTACTACGATGATGATGATGATGGTGATGATGATGATGATGATGACTACTACTATTACTACTACTACTACGATGTCTTTTATTTCTGACATTGCTAGTGTTGTTTTTGTCATGTCTTTCATTTCCATCACCTCCATTACTTTCAGATTTGATGTAATTATTACGATCGAATTGAATTAATTGATCGGATTGATCGAATGGAATATTGGATTCTCCGCGGAGTTGAAGTTTCGTCGTGAGAACTTTTGGCATCTTTCATTTGGATATATATATATATATAAGTGATTTTCGATTTTATTTTATTTTATTTTTTGTTTATTACTAATTTATTTTGATTAATAATAATTCTTTTACAAATAAACAAAAAAAAAAATTAAAAAAATAAATAAATATATTTATATATATATATGAATGAAAAATATAATGACGATATAGCGACCTTTTTGAGAAAAGTTTATTTTATTTTATTTTATTTTTTTTTTTGAAATGACAGAAAATAATAATAATAATATAATAAATTAAATTAATTAATCAATTAGATAAAAAATCTCTAAATATAGTTCTTTTTTTTTTAAATTTTAAAAAATTATATTCTAAGTAAATTTAACATAAAATAAAAAATAAAAGTTAATATTTAAAAACATATTTTGAATCAAGAAAAATTATTATTATTATTATATAGATATGTGTGTTGATTAGATTTTATTCCAACAATTATATTGATTTAACGAAAAATAATATTTTAAAAGAATTTGTATAATTTGCCACTTACATATAATTTGACTTACGCAATTATAATTTCGCTCATTTAACTAATTATATTATTGTTTAATAAGAGAAAATATTCTCAATTTATTATTTTTTTTAAAAATTTTATTCTTTTTATTTTTTTATATTTTATATTATGAAACTGATAATGATAGATATTTATTATTACCAATATAAAATTAATATATAGTTTAACAATTGATTAAAAGAATCTAGAATATAAATATTGTAATAAATAATAAATTAATATAATTAAATAAATATTTAAATTAAACTAAATTAAATTAAAATTAAATTAAATTAAATAATAAATAACATTTTCGAAAAATAAACAGTTTTTTTCATCTTGATTATAACCAAGATTAGATTAGGGAAGAAAAATTAGCAGCGCCACCCCGAAAATTCACAATTATCTACACATTTTTTGAAACTAGCCACCAATTCTATTTTTTTTTCAATTTTAAATTTACAATAAAAATAAGAAATCCAAATGATCAATCATTCTTATCATCCGAGCCACCGGGAAATTTTATGATATAATGGACTAAAATAAACAAATTATGAATATACAAGTTTTCTTTTTTATAATATATTTTTATAGAAGTAAATTTAAAATAAAATCAAATCAATTTAATATTTAAGAATTATTACTATATAGATATTTGATTTAAGATTGATCTCAACATTATTGAAGTTAAATTATTTTGGAATAAATGATTCATTCTTCGAATTTCTTTTAGATGATAATTATTGAATATTATGAATGTTACAATTGTATAGGTGAAAAGACTAAAATTAAAATCAACCTATAAACAAAAATGATTTATATTATTACCAGTTATTGATAATATTGTTTAAGTTAAATAAATTAATTAATATACACAAAAAAAGAAAAAATAGTATTTTTCGCTATTTCTTTGTTGAACTAAAATTGGTTTAAAAGAAGAAAAAATTTGCATCGCCACCTCACAAGTTATATATTTGAGTGTAGCTACCCATTCTATATTTTTAATTTTAAATTTATACATCATAAAAAAAATCAAATAGAAATAAATAAATAAAAAAACTAAAAATCCAGAATACGTAGTGTATACAATATGCACAATAGAAAATTCATGATATGAATCAACAACTTATACATGCTATTTTATGTATCCAAAAAAGAGGAAATCCTACAGTAATTTTAAAATGTTTAATAAATTATAATGCTGATAATGCTAAAGAATATAATAATCATGGTTGGCTCCAAATTGAACTAAAATAAATAAAAAAAAAAAGAAACCGCCCACAAATTATGAATATGTAAGTTTTTTCTTATAATTTTAGTAAGTTTAAAAATAATAAATTTTATATAAGTAAATTTAAAAAATAAAATAAATAAAATTAATATTTTGAATCAAGAAAAATTATTTTGATTTAAAATTTAATCACAACATTAATGGAGTTAAAATTATTATATTTTTGAATATGTAATGATTCATTCTTCGAATTTCTTTCAGATGCTATTATCAGTGCTACAATTGTATAATTTCAAATGATGAAAAGGAGAAAATCATGACCTACAGATAAATATAGTGATTAGATAAATAAAATTATTTAGTATACACAAAAAAGAAAATTTTCACCTTATTTCTTCTTGATTATAAGCTAACTAAAATTGGTTTAAAGAAGAAAAAAATCAGCAGTGCAACCCTGAAAATTCATAAGTTACTGCATATATTAATTTTAAATTTATAATAAAAATAAATCAAATAGAAACAAAATAACTGAACTTCATTTAATGGACATGCAAAAAAGCTACAGAATATAAGAAAACATTTCAGATCAGAATGATCCCCAATCTTTCATTAAAAATCAATTTTTATAATTAATTATTCTTTAATATTCATGATACTCCTATTACTCTTATAATTATAAATCTAATTTGTAGAGATAAAAGCATCAGAATATTTTTAATTT